AAACACTATTTTTTCATGGCGAGTCTGTAATGTTTTCTAAACCTTTTTCTTGAGTATTTTTGCCTCAAAATTTGCCGGTGGAAACGCAGTTTTTCTCGGGTCTTTCATTATAGAAAACGTGGGGAAATTGTGTTTTTAAAAGACCAAACATTTCAGGCCAAATGTCCAAGAAAACGCCTTTGAACACATAAATGCGCATCCACCAACTTGTCTAAAAATGTTTGCTTTTGAAGTTGCTCTAGATTGTTTAGTGCCAATTTCCCGCCCTTACTTTTAACGGAAAAGGAGAAAGAAATCGAGCGTGTTTATAGGAATTTAATCTGAAATGTAACAGTTTCGAAACAAACGGGAAAACAGCAGCAATCGACTTGTTTAGATAAAAACGCTCAGCAGTTCCGTATATTTCGCGTAAAAACTGGTTTTAAAATTCGATCATGTCGCAAAAGGTCGAGATCTGTAGTCCAAGTATAAAAAGCCAAATTATTTACGTATGAATGACTGTATATACGCATAACCAAATGACTCAAAGGCCAATAAAACAGTCAGTAAAAGACGCCTATTTAGGTTTGTGGTTTTTTCGGTCAATAGATGGTGCCAAAAATAAAACACTATTTTTTCATGGCGTGTGAAAAAATAGTGTTTTATTTTTGCCACCCTCTATTGACCGAAAAACCCACAAACCTTAATAGGCGTCTTTTACCGATTGTCTGTAATGTTTTCTAAACTTCTTTTTTGGGATTTTTGTCTCAAAATTTGCCGGTGAAAACGCAGAATTTCTCGGGTCTTTCATTATAGAAAACGTGGGAAAATTGTGTTTTTAAAAGACCAAACATTTCAGGACAAATGTCCAAGAAAACGTCTTTGAACACATAGATGCGCATCCACCAACTTGCCTAAAAATGTGTGCTTTTGAAGTTGCTCTAGATTGTTTAGTGCCAATTTCCCGCCCTTACTTTTAACGGAAAAGGAGAAAGAAATCGAGCTTGTTTATAGGAATTTAATCTGAAATGTAACAGTTTCGAAACAAACGGGAAAACAGCAGCAATCGACTTGTTTAGATAAAACGCTCACCAGTTCCGTATATTTCGCTTAAAAACTGGTTTTAAAATTCGATCATGTCGCAAAAGGTCGAGGTCTGTAGTCCAACTATAAAAAGCCAAATTACTTACGTATGAATGGCTGTATATAAGCATAACCAAATGGCTCAGAGGCCAATAAAACAGTCAGTAAAAGACGCCTTTTTAAGTTTGTGGTTTTTTCGGTCAATAGATGGTGCCAAAAATAAAACACTATTTTTTCA